ATGAGGGCTAGGTTTAGGCATGGCTAGATCAGGAATTAGTTTCTCTTCTATGCGATATAGTCATTCCCAGGCAGACCCTCTCCACTTGGTAGAATTACGTCACATTATATAAAGACACCTGTTTTATACTAACTAGTTCCAGCAAAACTCCCCAGGCTGATGCGCATTGGCACTGATTGCTCGGGCTAGGGTCACATGTCCATTTCTGAGCCAATTGCTGTGACTGGGTTAAAGCAGACTGACTAATCTAATAGATGTGGAATTGGAGTTCATTTCATGTTCTGAGAATGGGGCAGGGGTGGTTCCATAAAGGGAAACCAGGGTCTCTTACCAGAGAAGGGGAAATGTGTACGGGGCAGGCAGAACCAGCTAACATCCACTAGAGGCACTCTGCATTGTCACCAAGGCAGAGAGAGGTTGCAGGTATGAAGATGATAGTGACTGTTTATTTACTTCTTGCAAAAGCACTGGGAGAATAACCACTCAAGTGTCAGGTTCCAAAGCAGGAAAGGAGGAGCCACAGTGGTAGCCGCCAGCCCACATGCCCCTAAACATCCACCCATGTGTCTGTCATCTTAGGTGGTGTGCCATGGAGTGTCTTCCTGGGAACATGCACCCAGATCTGGCTGGTGCCTCATGACAATCCAGTAACATCCCTCATCATAAAACCTGCTGCTTGTCAGGGCTTTAAATCACACAGCTCATCTCGTCAATGGTAGACATCTGTAAGTTTGAGACAGCACTTTCTAATGCAGATGAATACCCACAGCAAGGACATCATTAGAAGCCATTAAAGAGCAGTGTTTTGCACTAACTGCCACATATAATGTTCCCTACCTCTTTGCCGATATTACCAAATGAAGGCTATTTCTCAGTGAGTCATTTTTATTACCATATTCACTGTCGCAAGGATCATCCAATTCATTTGTACTGTACTTGTTGCTGTAGAATCTAGATGATGGTTCCCAAAGCTGGTCGTAACTACCAGACTGTTTGGCATGACCCCGGCCACAGAGCCTGCAGCCATTCTGCAGTGCCTCCTCAGAGCCAATCAGAGCTCACATCTCACAATAATGCCTTGTTCTGTTCCTTTTCAGCACCCCCTCCTAAACCCGCACGGTGCTTGAACAACGCAATTGTCTCTTTGGTCCCTATTGTCCCTTGTACCCAGCCTATCATAACCACTCACTAAATGTTTATAGAATAAGTGCTATGCATAGTGATTGCAAAACAGAGGAGTCAGACATAGTCCCTCACCTTGAGCAACTTATAGTCTATTAATTACAGAAGCAGCAATACTAAGAATGGCACCAGCTAATGTTAATCAAGTGCTAGTGTGCTATATACAGAGCTAAGTGCTTTGCATGCATTATCTCATTAAATGATCTTGACAACCTCCCCCCATGTTACATACTATTGCTCCCCCCATTTTACAGATGAGGAAGCTAAAGTTCATGGGGTAAGCTACCATCACATCATTTGAAAATGGCAGAATCAGGTTTTGAACCCAGGTCTGCCTGATTGTAATGCATATTTCTAACCACTAAAGTAATACCATCTCTTTAAAGGCAGGATGAATAAGCAGTATGGGAGAAGCTGAAATAAATTAATTCTCAAAAGACTAGCAAGGGGCTCCCGTACCAAAGTAAATCTTGTATAAAGGTATTAAGCTAGTCCACTGTTTTAACAATGAGAGGCCTTTGAGGGATGAAGTGGAGGAACCAAGGTGAGATCTAGAGAGATATGTCAGTGATGCTACCTGAAAGCCTACAGAAATGCATGTGAGCCACAAAAGGCTGGTTTTCTCTCTGGGCCAGAAGGAGGGCCTTAGAGGAGGAAGTGTCTGCATGCCTCACTAAATATGGGGTCAAAAGAGCAAAATGGATGTGTCTGCCCCTCACAGGTTTATTTTACATTCTCGCAGAGTGTAAAGAGAAATCTCAGAATGTCGTTGAGAAATGGAGATTGGGGACCGCATCTGCCTAAACTTCACACTTTGTAACTTACCCCAAGTAGTTCTTTCTGCTGCTCTGATCGGTTTCCCCACCGATCAGAGGAAGGGTAGCAGAGTGACAGCCCCTCAGGAGGTCAGCTAAGAGGACAGGGTGGCTGAGTGGGGCCAGCTGCCCTGAGGAGAGAAAAGCAAAGCAAGTGATCCTTTGAGGCTCGTGGCCAAGTGCGTAACAGAGACCCTGAAGTCTGGTTGGGAGTGAGATGCCATCTTTTCAAGACGAGGGTGGGGTTTCTGGAAAGGACCTAAGGAAGGAGCCAAAAACAGTTCAGAGATGGCGGAAATGTCTGTCAGTGCTCAAGAACCAAACGTGTCCAATAATCTCCCTTATTCGTTCACCAAACTGTGATCATGCGTGGATGCGTGTGGATGTGCTGTGCGTGCGCACTGAGCCAGGTAACGGGAAACCAGAACGAGCTCAGGTGGGGCACAGATGAGTGCATTGGTGATGGTGACACGGTGTGAGAAGCCTCCCAGAACGGGAGCAGAGGGGCCTCTGGGATTATAAGGAAGACAGAATGACTAAAGAAACCTTTTTTGGTTAAAAAAAAAGTATCCGTGACACTTGTTAAAGATGGTGAGGAAGACTTTATTCAAGGGGATGGGACCGCTGCAATGGGGCTTTGTAATGCGGGAGAGAGATTGGACTGAACTCTAAATACAACAAGGAAAACTGAGAACTTACCGTCAGGGGCGGAGTGGGGGTCAATGGATAGAAAATTGCTTAGAGAGGAAACATCAAGGATGATAAGGGAGATTCTCGCCAAACTGTCCTAACAGAATTCTTGATGAAGGCTGGCCAGGGTGACCAGATGTCATCTGTGGGATGGTAGAGAATAAGAAACCTGATTTGACATCAACGGTGATATCAAGGATTCTGGCTAAACTGACTTAGCAGGATTTTTGCTAAAATTGGACAATGCAGAGACAAACACAGAAGTCCAAAAGCTGAGACCTACTGAGAAAAGAGCTCAGGAGAGCCTGCAGACAATCTTTATCAACACCTATCCCGGACCTAGGGGCAGAAAGTGAGCTGCAGCGGGCCTTAGAGAGCTAAGTGAGCACCGCAACTCAAACAGCATTCACCCAGCATTAAGAAGCATGGGAGTGGTAGCAAGGCGCCCAAGGGGGCTTTTGGAAGCAAAAAAAGCCAAGCCAAGCTCAAAAATCAGGCAGTAAGAGACAACATGACATTTCTAGGAATTATAAGGAACCCGGTCCAGTTTGAGCTCAAAGGGAGAAGTGGGGAGTCGCAAGAGATGGCACTGGGCCGGCCACCCTCAGAGTCTGGACTTCATCCTGGAGCCAGTGGGGGTCTCCATCACCAGGTTTCCCTTCCAAGGGACGGCTGTCATGGGTGGTTAGTGCCACAAGTACGATGTATAAAAAAGATGCCAGCTCTTTGAAAACATCTGATTCCAAGACCCAATCCTCTTGCAGGCAGATCCAAACGCAGTGCTTTGGCCATCTTTCTCTGGTCGTAAAAGCAGGGTCTTGGTGTCCTGACATTATGAAAACTCTCATAGCCTGAGATGACTGATGTACATTGGGCTTGAGGGCATGTCAGAAATCACATAACTTTTCCAGCCTGATTTTAGCTCAGTGAACTTACCTTAGTGGCAGCTGAAAATTACCTAGGAAGCTTTGAATGAAACCATGATGCCCTGACGCAAAGGCCACCCTCAGAGATTCCAATGGAATTGTCTGGGGTGGAGCTAGGCATTGGCATTTTTTTAAAAAACTCCCGAGGTGATCCCCTGTATGGTCACAGGTGGCAACTACAGAAAAGTAGTTGCTCAGCTTAGCAACATTCACTCTTGAGAAGTGAATGGACTCCGCTCGCCGGGTACTCTGACTGAGAAGGTCCTGGGTCAGCTTTGCAAACTTTCCTAGCAGATCTTCATCTGCTGAGACTTCTTCATGCCCCACACCCTTTCTCGTAGACAGCTGCAAAAGGACCCTGTTCTAAAGCCAAATAAGGACAGTGACAGCCAGAGCAGGAGGGTGACCTCACCTGTCTCTGGGCATCCCAGGCCACCGTGCCACTCCCTCAGCCGTGCTGTCTGTGCAGCCCTAAGGAGTGTTGTCAAGGATGCCTTTTCCCTTGATGTTACCTGGAAACTCAAAGCAGGCCTCATTAGCAAGCACATTGCTCACCCTCACCCAGTCCCACACATCACCTTCCTCCTCACCCCCACCTCCAGATCTTTCGTTTTCCGTTTGCCCATTTTTTCCCCAGTGCAATTGGGTTTTGTTCCCTGTGCCCTGAAAAGCACAGTTTTGGAGTGGAAATGTTGCTGGAAGAAAGGCTCGGGGGTCCCGGCCCATCACCCTTCATTGCATACTCCCCCCACACCCCAGCCCCCTGAAATGCCATTGTCAGGAGCACTGAGAGACAAGCCCTCTAAATACTTCCCAAGGCGCTGCCCTGTCTTGCTCCTTCCTCATTGAGAAAGCAAATATGTTAACTCGGAGCCCTAATGTTTCTTGCCGCAATTAACAGCTTCCTGGTATTAATTCCTAATCAATAGCCCCTTCATGCTGCTGCTGCTCCTACTGCTGTGGCTTCTGGCCTCCACAGCGCACTTGAAAGGAACTTGATGGGGCAGTGAGACTGCTCCTCCCCGCCCCTGCACCCCACTGCTCCTCAGGAATGCCCTCCCCAGGCTTCCTAAGGACACCAAGGGCCCCTCAGTCGAAGTCTGGGGGCCAAGGGACAGCACGATCATGCTAGGGCTCCAGCCCCTCTTTCAAGTAGGACGACAGCTTGGGAACAGGAGGAGCCCAGCCCTGCTAGGGTAGCAGCAGCCCCTTGGGACATTCATGAAGCTTTCATTTTTCCATGTTGGCTTTTCTTTAAATTCTTTATTTCAGTTTGTTTTGAGATGGCTGTATTTTTCCTCCGTCTAAAAAGAACCTCATTCAATCAGACTTTTCTTTCATCAAATAGCCATGATTTCTCATTTTTTGCCTGTGTTGCTTCCTGCAGCTCCCTGTGGACAGAATGAGACCCGAGAGGATGGTAAAATAATTCAGCTGCCTCCATGCAAGACAGGAGCCTGGATTGTGCCAGCCATTATGGCCTGCTACCTCTTAGTAGCGAACATCCTGCTGGTCAACCTCCTCATCGCTGTCTTTAAGTAAGTGGGTCCTTCCTCAGAGCACCGGGGATGAAGGGAGGGTGCTAGAGGGGTGAGGTGCTTCAGAAAGCAGTGGAATTTCTCACTCGATTCTCTCTGGCCTCTGTTTCAGCAACACATTTTTTGAGGTAAAATCAATATCCAACCAAGTGTGGAAGTTTCAGAGGTATCAGCTCATTATGACTTTCCATGAAAGGCCAGTTCTGCCTCCACCTCTGATCATCTTCAGCCACATGACCATGATATTCCAGCACCTGTGTTGCCGATGGAGAAAACACGAGAGTGACCCAGATGAAAGGGACTACGGCCTGAGTAAGCTTGAGTGACAGCCCCCAGCAGCCACAGATCAGATAGCCCTACTGCTTCCCATGGGTGGTCACGGAGGCCGTGGCCACCTGGTTCCTCCTGCTTCCTGCAGACTGCCAATGACTCTGAAGACTTGGAGGGGAGCAGGGGGCATTCTTGCCAGGGAAACAGTGCCAGAAAGAAGACAGTAGAGGCTGAAATCAAGTGTTCTTAGGCTCACATCTTTCTTAGTGATATAAAGCCAGGCTCCAGCGTGGCTGTTTTAGCACTTCCATGGGTTCTAAGTTTCCTACTTTCCAGAGGTCCCACTATAAAACATATGGTCTATATTTGTATGCTCCCAATTTTGCATTATATATAATTTAAGTATCATTATGTGAGTTGAGTTGAATTGCAGGTAACCAAGTTTGATTTTCCATTATCATTTCTGGACCGATCATTTTTTAGGTCTTGACTATTTTCCAAGCCTCAAGGGTTGTGCTTATCTGACTTTGTGAAGACACCAGCCCTGCTTTCCGTTTTTCAAAGGGCAAAACAGAAGACCCTCCAGCATCTACCTTCTAGTCCAGTGTTTTAAAAGGAGGTTCTGTTAGCACTGGGGCAGAACAATACTTCCTTGTATGGGATTGTCCCACACATTGCGGGGGATGTAGCACATCCAGCCTCCACACATTAAAAACCAATAGCTCCTGCAGATTGCTAAATGGCCCTTGGGTACCACTCACGGTTAAGGACCGTGGGACATCCAGTCCCCTACAAGCAAGCTACAATGGTTTCTCAAGTAGACCTCCTACACTAAATCTACTGAAGGGGCTTCTAGAATGAAGGCCCAGGAATTACCTCCAGGTGACAACTAATGGGTTTCAAGTTTAAAACCAAAGCCATTTAATCAACCATTTCTCTAAGTCTGAAGCTTTTAACACCTTCCCTGACACAGCAATGCTGACTTCTTTCTAAACTTTAAAACTGGAGGAGTGGAAGGGGCAGGGAATCCCAGAGTTCACTATTTCCACCTGAAACATAAATTTAGACAAGAAGAAAGCTGGTGGGACAGGCAGACGAAAGGTTCGGATTTACACCGGCCCATTTTCTATGCCCATATCAGTTAATGAATTAGTTTCCCTGCCATTAACAGAAAAACATACTAACAACAGTACAAATAAGTAAGTTTTTATTTTTCTCAAAAGCAAAAAAGTGACTAGACTGATGATAACCCAGGCCCACAGTGGCTCACCGAAGTCAAAGGCCCAGAGTTGTATTTTTAGGCTCAGCTATTCCTTTAATGCACTGTCTTGTCTCGTAGTAGCAAAATAGCTGTGTGCAGTTTCCATCATCACATTTATATTTAAAGCAAAAAGAGAAAGGAAAGGTAAAAAAAAAAATGTAGAAAGAAGCAACCACTTCACCACAGTTTATCAGGAAAGCAAAATCTCGTCCGAGTACTGCACCCCTTCGCGCCCCAGACTTCTTTTGTTTTTTGAGCTGAACTGGGTCTCATCACCGTTGCTACCTTCCAGGGCAGCTGGGGGGGGGGGGTGTATTTGGTGTATCTGCCTCAGTAGTGGGAAGTGGGGAGGGGGAGTGAGGTTGCAAAAGGGCTTTTAGGAAGGCCAGTGAACAATGTCTGTCTGCCATACTCCTCAGCCCGGAAATTTAGCTTTTGGGAAGAAACCTCCATTGGCTTCCCTTTCCTTGAATTTAGCTACATTTTTGGCCTTTGCAACCTGAATAATTGTAACCAGTTCCTGCAGTAAACCAGATGTACCCTGGTGAACTGCAGAGGCTCATAGTGAATCTAACGCAAAGAAAGGGGACAGTGGCACGAGTCACCTGACTGGATTCCGATTTAGAGACTTAGTGGAGAATCTAGGCTCCTCCTCCTAATGCTGGTAGAAATTAGGAATGGCACTAGGCCCACAGACCAGAGGCCATCACGTTGACTTCTCTGCCTCACGCCTCCTTTCTTCTCCACAGAGCTGTTCATAACTGATGATGAGCTCAAGAAAGTACATGATTTTGAAGAACAGTGTATAGAGGAATATTTCAGGGAAAAGGATGATCGCTTCAACTCGTCCAATGATGAGAGGATACGGGTGACTTCAGAAAGGTGTGTTCCCTGGTCGCGTCTCCTGGAATGTTGTAGGCCATGGTGTGCTTTATCAGTTGCTTTCGTTTGCACAGCCGAGAGAGAGAGACAGAGAGACAGAGACAGGCCTCTTGTGTTTATTTTTACTATCCAAGACATCCTTGAGCTTATGAGAGAACAGAATATTGTCTGAAGGGCTCTCAGATCAAATCCCAGACGTACAGGTCCTAGGCTTCTCCAGAGGCAGTGGCAGCCGCCTTCCTGGACGCTAGAGATTGCTGCGCTCAGAACAGGGCAGGAGTTGCTGGCTCAGACCAGAAATTGGAAAGTCCTGACCCAGACACAAACCAAGGGAAACCCAACCCAATTCAAGCCTCCCCAGCAGGTTTGTGTGTTATATAAATCATTGAGTGTCTTCTCCAAAGGTAGAGTGCCTGGCTTATATGGGTACCTTCTGAATAAACAACAGCATGAAACTTGTGAATTGGCTAGAATAATGATTGAGACCTGGCCGGTGTGCCTCAGTGGTTGAGTGCCGGCCTGCCAATCAAAGGGTCACCGGTTTGATTCCCAGTCAGGGCACATGCCTGGGTTACGGGCCAGGTCCCTAGTAGGGGGTGCGCAAGAGGCAACCACACATTGGTATTTCTCTCCCTCTCCTTCTCCCTTCCTCCCCTTCTCTAAAAAATAAGTAAGTTAAATCTTTTTAAAAAAGAAGAATGGTTGAAGTTTTCCATGTATTTTTTTTCTGGAATTATTTTCATTTTTTCTTCTTCTACAACAAAATAAAAGCAAAGAAATAACACCAGATTTTTCTACCCAGTAATTGTATATTTTTAGACATCATTGACCAAATGGTTTCGTGGGCTAGTAGGGCTGTAAGAAAAATATCCAAGTAAAGAGGAGAGAATTGTTTTAATTTAATTAAGTCTAGCTTTAGGCAAATGAACTTACATTTTCTTTCTTCCCTCATTTTGCCGTGGACTAATGAAAACTTCATCCGAGGCTGGCACATTAGAAAACCCAGCCTTTGGGAGCCACTGTTCTAAAGGACACCCAGAGGGTTACAAAGCTTTTGATGTCTCTTTAAATTTTAAACATTTGCAATATAAGAGGTCAGAAGCAGCTTATACATAATGGGGAAGGCATAATATATTGATGATTTTAGTTGATATAATTCAGGCTTCTAAGATTTGAATTAGTCATCTCAAGTTTTCAAAATATGACATTTTGTCTGCTTACCCACTTCATACATTTTCTAGTGGTTTTGTAAAAATTACACAGTGGCATTTTTCTGCCCCTAGCCCTTTATTTCTTCTAAGAATACAGCCTACATATGGAAGCGTATGTGCACAGGCCATTGAGTGACTGTATCCATAGGTACTCAGCCAATATTAATAAAGTTTAAAGGCATGAATAGATTTTATACACATCTGTCATTGCAAAATAGAACATTTCAAGATGATATGATGCAAAGCAATTTTCTGGCAAACTAAGAAAGGAGCTACAAATATGAAGATCTTATTCTGAGGCCTTGTAAAAGCTATTTATTAATGGAAATATAACCATGTGGTTCCCAGAAAATTGTACCATGTAGACACATTGCCAATTGCGCAGACATATTTCCAAAGCTTATGTCCGAAGGCCTTTGAAAAGATTTTTGAATTCAGAAAACCATAGACTTGAGAGGAAAGAAAGGCAGGAAGAAGTGTGGAGACACAAAGAAGCCTTGGCCTCTCTGGGGAATGACATGAGAGGTGCGGGCATCAAGACACATGAGCCTGTGGTGACCATCTCACCAGTTCCTTCCGGGTGGAAACCGAAAGGAACTACAGCACCTCCACGTGAGCCTCTCACCCCACAGCTGCAAACACTTTTAGGCGACTCCTACCTCAAGACCTGGTCCTTTCTGGGTGGATTCAGAGTCCCCACCCTCCAGGAGGGTGACCAAGGTGAGCAATTCCCAGAAATCCAGGACAGAGTGTGGGTCCGCTCCCTGTGTGTCCTAAGTATTAGCTGACCTTCTGGAGTAACGGGGGCCCAGGAGGACCAGGACAACCTCACAGCCAAGCCCAGGAGCCAGGGAAGTGAACCTAAGCTAAGGCCTTATGCTGCTTCTGGTGATTCAGTCTATGTTTGGGGTTTTGTTTTTGTTGGTGGTGGTTGTGGTTTTGGTTAGTTTTACATTTGTAAATGGAGCAAAAAATAACATTTCTAAACACTGTAATTTCTCATAGTCCATCAGAAATATGATGAGGTGCACGAGGGAACAGAGATTAACTAAGGGAAGAGTGGATTCATGTTACCCATCTCGCACATCTTCTAGGACATGGTGTCTTTTCTGAGTAGAGTGGCAGGTGAAATCACCTGTCCTATTTATATTAGATAGACAGATGATGATGATAGATAGATAGATGGATAGATAGAAGATAGATACACACATACACATATTTAGGTAGGTACATATTTAATTTACATAAGTTAACTATACATAATTGATATAGTATACAGAATATTATATAATTCTCCCTTCATAGCCCCAATATAGAAATTTGAGGTCAGAAAAATTAAGAGCTGGCTCTTTACTCTACTAAAAGACTCAGAAAAAGGATTTCTTCATATAGTGAGCCCCACCTTCCTCCCTCTGCCAGTGACTTTAATGTATAATTTATTTATCTTGAAAGTGTTTGCATGAATCTTTTCAGAAACGCAAAGATACTTCCATAATTATCCACTTAAATGCGTCATTATTATATCATAATCTTTCACCTAAATTATATGTAAAGAGTCAATATAATAGTTAGGAGATTATTAATACCTCAAAGGAAATTGGTTCTGAAAAAATCCTTATCTTTCCCACTGTTATGTAGCAATTACCCTGATGTATCTAAAGAAATACAGTTCCAGAATATGATTGAGTTAATAATACCCTGCACTTTTTTTAGGGTCCAGTGGCACAGCCTACTCTATACCCAAGCTAGGTACTTAAGGTGTGCCCTTCACATGGGCTGAGTATGCCCTCCTCTTAGAGCTTTGCCTTGGTTGCTATTGGCAGATCAATGGGAGGGATCTACCCAGTCCAGTCAGCTGCAAGGAATGGCTGTGACCACTTAACACCAACCTCCATCCTCCATAGAGGATAAGCTGTGCAGGGGCAGGGTGGTGGTGCTCCAGTGTGGTCTGTAGCTGTCCACTAAGTGTGCTGGCTCTGGGGTTTCCCAGGTGGTGCAGGCCAAGGTCAGCCCCTACCTATGTTTTCCCGGGGCCACCCTGCCTGAGCTATAAAGCAGTCTGAGATGGTTGCTACTTGTTCTGGGCTTGGAGATCCCCAGGCAAAGTGAAGATGTGAACCTAGGCTGGCTGCTAGGGTCTGGGGCTCGCTAAGGCCAGCTTTTGCTTGTTTGAGAGAATTTAGGAAGTTGTGAAGCACTAGCAAAGACCAGCCATTCACATGGAAAAGCAGCTTGGGTGAGTCCGCAAGTTGAGTGGGGTGGAGTCTCTGGGGATCTCCCAAGGGAGTCAAAGAGTGCTAGCCAGGTTGATGGAGTCTCAGATACAGCACCAGCTCATTGGCCCAGAAAAGGGACAGTGGCCTCTGCTTACCTTGATGCCACACACCTCATCCTGCCCCTGCATGCCACTGGTGCCCCTCAAGCCACCACCCTGGCACCAGAGCCCAGAGAGAGTAAGTCTGAGTAGGCCAGTCCATGCGTGGATTCTTTAAGAGGAACTGCTAAGGACTCTAGCAGTTTTTTCCACCAGCTCAGTCCCTGCCAGTTTTTGCAGCCAGAAGTTGTAGGGACTTATCTTCCTGGAAATGGAATCCTGGACTTGGGGGGCTGGTGTGGGTCTGGGACTCCTCACTCCTGAGATATCCCCTCTGAATTTTTATCCACCACATGTGGATGAGGGCCCAGCCCATTCCACATCTGTGTCCCTCCTACCAGTCTGCATGGATGTGCTTTCTATAATTCTGTAGTTGTCAGACTTCATTTGAACTCAATTTCTGACAGTTCTGAGTAATAGTTGTTCTATATTTTACCTCTAAGTTTGATGTAGTTGTGCGAAGAGGTGAGCTATATCTGCCTACGCCGCCATCTTGACCAGAAGTCCTCTCACTATCCACTTTACATTGTCAACATCACCCTGTAATGTGGTACCTAAATGAAACTTAATTCTGGATTGTAGTTACAGCCTAGATTTAGTTCCTATATTCATTCCTTTACTACTATGTGCTGGGCTAATACTCATAGAGTACAATAGGACAAGTAGTTCTTTCCATGTTATAAAAGGAAGAACACAGCACAATGGAAAGATTTTAATATTAATTTCTAGTAACTAGCTGTGTGACTTTGAGCAAGTTACTTAATTCCTTTGAACCTCTGCTCCCACCTGTACAATGGAGTATTAACACCTAACTGTAGAGTATTAAATGATATTGAAGTAACATATGAGATAATAAGCTTTCAATGAATGGTGCTTATTGTTATTATTTGATCTACATATTTTATTTTGCATTACAATTATTATAGCCAGGTCATGTCTTTGGTTCAGAGTGAGCCTACAATTAATTAAAATGAGGGCCTTTTCACATGAGCTGATTCAAATATCCTCAAGCAGGTTCTTGTGAGATGTTTGTGTTTAACCTAAATTTGAGACTTAATACTCATCACTATGAATTTTAATACTTTCTATTTTTATTCATTATTCCAGAACCTCAAGGACTCTGGATCCTGATTTCATCATCCAATATATTAATTTTTCATTCTATTCATTCTATGTCATTGTTTGCTCAATTAGCATACCAAAATGCTCATCAGAACAGATAAGGTGAACCAAGACAGAACCAAGATATTTCTTGACTCAAAAAAAAAAAAAAAAAACTTTTCATGTTGACATTGGTCCATTGTTCTATCATTCCTTGTTTGGTTAATTAGCCAACCAGGTGACTATGCCACTTTAGTCAGCCCAGTGTGTCTACCTCCCCATTAAGACAATGCACTTTACCACAGATACTGCCT